CCCCCCCCCCCCCCCGTTTTGATTCTTGACACAAATGTTTAGTCATACTTGTAACTATCAAATTAAGTAGATGGTCAAGGGTAACTTCCTGGCTCTAAAAAGCTCTGCTTTAAAATACTTCTACATTGGGGGCGCCTGGGTGGCTCAGTGGGTTAAAGCCTTTGCCTTCGGCTCAGGTCGTGATCCCAGGATCCTGGGATCGAGCCCCGCATCAGGCTCTCTGCTTAGCAAGGAGCCTGCTTCCCTTCCTCTCTCTCTGCCTGCCTCTCTGCCTACCTGTGATCTCTGTCTGTCAAATAAATAAATAAAATCTTTTTAAAAATAAATAAATAAAATAAAATACTTCTACATAACACAGAGCCAGGGGTCTCAGCTTCAAAGACCTTCAAAGAGTTTGTGAATCAAATGCAGGGCCAGAGCTCTCCATAGATCTTAAAGGAGTTTTGTATCTTCATTGCTCAAGATTAGTGCCATCTTTTTAGGTAGGCCTGAATGCTCAGAAACAGAACAGTCTAGTCTTTTTGCTGAAGAATTATCATATCAGATCATTCACATTGTCATGGATCTTCACAGCTTGCTGAGCTCTAAATACTTACCAGTTGACCCTTGAACAGTGCAGGAGTTGGGGCATGTGTAACTTACGACTTCCCAAAAACTTAACTACTAGTAGACTACTGTTGACCTTTTTTTTTTTTTTTTAAAGGATTTCATTTATTTATTTATTTGACAGAGAGATCACAAGTAGGCAGAGAGGCAGGCAGAGAAGGGGGATGGGGAAGCAGGCTCCCTGCTGAGCAGAGAGCCTGATGTGGGGCTCGATCTCAGAATCCCGAGATCCTGACCTGAGCCAAAGGCAGAGTGTAACCCACTGAGCCATCCAGGCGCCCCTACTGTTGACCTTTTACAGAACATAGTTAAGACATGTTCTGTACGTTTATGTTTTATATACTGTAAGTAAGCTAGAGAAAAGAAAATGTTATTAAAATCATAAGGATGAGAAAATACAGGGGCGCCTGAGTTGGCTCAGTTAAGTGTCTGCCTTTGGCTCAGGTCATGATCCTAGGGTCATATGATCGAACCCCGAGGTAGGCTCTCTGCTCAGTGGGGAGCCTGTTTCTCCCTCTCCCACTCCCCATGCTTGTGCTCACTCTGGTTTTTTTTTTTTCTGTCAAATAATAAAATCTTAAAAAAATATATATTTACAGGATTGTATTATTTTAAAAAATCCATTTTTTAAACTAACTTTGACATAAGAATATTGTAAGAATAGTAACAGTTCCCACGTACCCTTTATCCAGATTCTCAAAGTGTTAACGTTTTATCATGTGTGTTACCCTCTTGCAGTCGATAGCTATACATTCATATATTTTTGTCTGAACTATTTGGGAGTACATCACAGGCATGATGCCTCTTTAATCCTAAATACTTAAATATTTATAAAATGAAGGGCATTCTCTTAGTACAAATTCAATACAATGATCAGAATCAGGAAATAGATACAAAACTTGTCTAATCTCATTCAGAGGCAAACCTCATTCAGTTTTTACCATTTGTCACAGTGGATTTTATAGCAAAAATAAGAATTAGGGAATTCTGACTGTGAAAATAGGTCAGAAAGGGAAAGGCTAGAGCTAGGTCATTTGATAGTCTAGGCCAGAGGTGATGAAGCAAGAGCTAATGAGAGCAGTAGCATTAAGAATAATGATGGAAGGATTTTGAGTGTATGAATAGTGGTTCTTAAGCAGAGGTGCATATCAGAATCATCTGGGGGTGCCCTTTAAAGTTTTTACCATGTCCCATCCCAAAATAATTGAATGTCCCATGGGCATGAAATTATGGCCTTTGTAGTTTGACAGGTGAGTCTCAAATTTCAATGCAGAGCGCCAGGTTTTAATAACAGATGGTTGTATGGAGCAGACGGGGCTTGGGATGTAGAATCGAAGCCACTGGCAGGTTTTCTGGTTTAGGTGACTGGATGGTGAAGGTGCTGGTAATTGAGGAAGAAACTTCAGAGGAAGGTGGTTTGTCTTCCCAGAAGTATGTATGTGAGAGGTGCAGAGGCTGATGATGTCACCTGAATTTGTGTATGAGATTCCATTTGACTTCATATGTTTTCCATTTCTCCAGCTTAATCTGGTAATATATACTCTTCAGCCTCACCCATAAGAAATATTTTAAGAATTTTTATGCTAGTTAGGCTACTTCAGTATATTGAGTCTGTATGAAAAGTTAGAGAAGGGGCGCCTGGGTGGCTCAGTGGGTTAAGGCCTCTGCCTTTGGCTCAGGTCATGATCCCAGCGTCCTGGGATCGAGCCCCGCGTCTGTCAGGCTCTCTCCTCAGCAGGGAGCCTGCTTCCCCCCTTCTCTCTCTGCCTGCCTCTGCCTACTTGTGATCTCTGTCAAATAAATAAATAAAATCTTTAAAAAAAATTTTTTTAGAGAAATTACCATCTAAGCGTTTGTCCTGAGTTTGCATCAGTAGATGGCAGTGGTAAACAGCGTCTGAGGGAGCTGTAACCTTGACCCTGGAGGCGTCTTCCCTTTTGAAGAGATAAATGCCAGCTACTCTTTTGATCTGTCTTTTCTTCTCAATCTGGTTGCTCTCCAGGCTTTCCTGTGTCAGTAGGTCATTCTGACCACCTGATTAGCTGAGAGAAGCTTGGAGTCATCTTGGTTCTTCCTTCTCATTATCTGTTTCTAAGACCATTTGTCTCGAAAACAAACCCCAAACCCAAATTTGTGAATTTCTGTTTTCTCAGTCACCAGCTCACACTGGGACTGTCCTTGGACGTGTCCTTACTGTGCTCTGGATTCCTTTGTCTCTTTCAGTCTTTTCTCCACGTAGCAGCCAGAGCAGTTTCCTAAAGGTCCTGTTGTTTACTTATCTGCCAAAATTCTTCAGTGGCTTCCTGATTGCACCTGAAATATAAAATGCTTTTCACCTAAAAGACCTTGCTTCATATGGCTCCTTGCTTCTGTGATTTCATCTCATGCCTTTTTCTATGCTCCAGCCATGCAGGCCTCTGTTTTCAGTTTTCAGTACCACCGGACTTTCCTGACCTTTTTTGGGAAGTTAAACTTTATGTAATTTATTAATTTGCCCAGTGCACAGATCTCACAGTGGCAAAGCTTTGTTTATAGCCCTAATCTACCTGACTTTTCTTGCCCATTGTGAAATTCTGTTTCCTATAATGTAATGTTTTGTATGTTTGTATATGTTTGATGGCTTAGGAAGGACAAATTTAATGATTGGTTCAGTGTGTGTGACCTAAGATTTCCAGTCTCCTGGAGTACCCTTACTTGCATATGTTGTGGTAAAATACACAGAGTATAAAGTTTACCATTTTGACTGTTTTTTTTTTTTTTAAGATTTTTATTTATTTATTTGACAGAGAGAGATCACAAGTAGGCAGAGAGGCAGGCAGAGAGAGAGGAGAAGCAGGCTCCCCGCTGAGCAGAAAGCCCGATGCGGGGCTCAATCCCAGGACCCCGGGATCATGACCTGAGCCGAAGGCAGAGGCCCAACCCACTGAGCCACCCAGGCGCCCCCCATTTTGACTGTTTTTAAGTGTACAGTCCCGTGGCATTAAGCACATTCACATTGTTGTGTGATCATCTCCAGACCATCATCCATCCATCTCCAGAACTCTTTTGTTTTTTCCAACTGACCACCTCTTCCCATTTTCCCTTTTCCCCCTTCTCCAGCTTCTGGCAACTACTCCCTTTCTTTTACTGTTCAAAAAACAATCATTTTAATATTGAAAGATGAGTTTAAATCCCTCCTCTTGCATGAATAGACTTACTAGTAACTATTTTAAGCAGTAAACACATTTAGACCCATTCTGCTTTCGCCTCTTTCAGAAACCTTTGTGGGGAGTGCAAGCAGTTCTAATAGTTTAACACTTTTTCCTTCCTAGTCTCCCCACTGTACACGAAATGCTAAAAG